GGCACACACCGAAAATCACGCCTTTTAAATGTCTCAGAAAAGCCCACCTTTAGATTAGATTTCTTAAGGTTTTAATCATATTTAAACATTCTGCATTTTTTTAGATCGAATTTTTGTGTAAAAGTTAGAAGTTTTATTCATTGAAAAGACGTAGAGTTCAATTCCTGATGTCGGAATGAGTAGTAGAATTACTCATACTGTATTTGACTAAATATTTGACTCAGTTTTATTATTTGTGGAATTTGATTGGTCCACACTTTAGTGCTTCTTATTTCTATTGGTCTTGTTCCTATTGAAAATCGAGGTTGGCATTTTTTGTGCGGTTTCTTTCTCAATCTATTGATTGCTTAGTACCTAAATGTTCGCCTTGTCGCCCTCTGAGTCCTTACTCATGTGATCGATTAAATATCGATTTTTTTTTACTGAACATAGGAAAGTGACTAGAAATTTGGAACAGTTTATGTTTAGGGTTTCATTTTCTTTGTGTCAGTGAGGTATTTTCTTAGCAGGTCCTATAGTTGAGTTCTTCATCACATTTCTAGTCTTATGCAAGTAAACAACCAGTCAACTCCGTCGGGTTCTGGATCTAATCCATATAGGGACCAAGTTCGAAGCCTTCATAGGTTTCCTTTGGCCCTGGGTTCTCTTCTTCGACAACTAACCTTATTGAAATACAAAGTGTGTAGGGGTTGAGCCAAAAATAGATTAATAAGCGTTCGTCGACCGTTTTGTTTTTCTTCGTCGAAAAATGACTCAATGGATGTTCCGTTTTGTTTCGTAGTCATGTCAGTTTGTTTGCTGAGACGTCATCTTGGAAAAAACTCACTTCATTCTCTTTTGATGAATTCAATTTCGTAGATTCGGTTCGCTGGAACCTGTTTTGCTGTACACTTCATGAGGTCTTTTTTTCTTTCATTTTGTGTAATATTTGATTTTTTACGTCTACCAACATCACGTGAATCACACTGTACCGAATCCAGCACTTCTTGTGTTTGATTCGATTCGTCGCATTCACCATCCGCGAAGGTCGTCGAACTTTGCGTGCGGGTTTGGCCACTGCTTGAGGATTGTCGTCTTCGTTATGAATGTCGTCGTATCCTGATTGAGTCGGTTCTCCCTGAAATCCTGGATTAGCCCAACTAGGGTCTCCCCACATGGGTTAGAGGAAGTGAGCTTGTTCTAGACAAGCCTGGTAGCAATTTCTCTACTCAGTGGGACGATACGCTTGATTGCCCCTATGCAAGGTCGAACCAGAGCCTGTATAGGTCGAGCCGTCTTATGGTCAGGATCATTACCACTGCGATACCAGCTCTCTGCAATCCTTAACTAAATAGATATTTCTGGGAAGAGGTGATTTCGAGCGAAATACTTGTGAGGTTGTAATAAATTCTTCGCTCTTCACGATTGAATTAGTTCGTACTGCGTGGCAACCTTTGTTTTAATGTCAATATTTGACTTCTTCACACATTACATCTCAAGCTGTGATGTTTTACCAGCTGTTTTTTGGGGAATTTCCGGTTTTGAATGGGAAATCAAGGCGACAAGACCTTTTGGTAATGCAACTTTACAAGTCGAAGTAGAAAGCGTCACAGTCAGTACAACTTTTATCAACGTCTTTCATACTTAGACATCCTCAAAGTGAAGATCCCCTGTGTTCTACAGATTTCTGACAACCATTTCATTGGCTGATACTTCCTTTCGAAAGAAACTGTAGAGATTCACGATGGGAAGAAGCCGTAGTGATTTTTGATAGAAAACTGCTCCTCTAGTGATGTGATCTTTCAGATAATTAGGGTAAATAGATGAATAAGATGAAGTTCCATACTTGGAAAAGTCTAGCTTTGGAAACACCTAGGCATTTGTTCCTTTCGACTCATCAGTGCCGATCGTACACATGCCAATTCGAAGAATGTTTTGATTCATTTTTTTGGGATTTCGATTTGGTTCACGTACTTTGGCGCTCGTTTTCTTACTCTAGTTCTCCAAGAGGCTTCCAGGCCATTGATCTGGTTCACTTTACCTTCCCAGTAACTAATAATAGCAGATCATACTGGATCCTCCTCATCATCCTTTCTGTCGTTTCCATTACGAGGTTTTCACGAAGCCAAGCTTCTGTGTTGGGATTCAGACATTTTTCTGGCTTCATGGCTTCATGTTTAATCTTGAATTAGAACGAGGACTACCTAGCTAGCCCTCTTCCGTTTTTACTTCGGTGATCTAGATATATGCTTCAAGATGATATTTACAGTATTCGTAGACGGAAAATCATTGGTTACGCGACATGTGGATCTTTCACATAGTAAGGCTTGACAGTTAATTTGAAACAAACTAATAAAATCAGTGTTATGTCTAATTTTTGACTTTACAATTTCACTTATTGATCGGATATGCTACTTATAAGGACATACTTATTTAGTGATCTTCCATTTCGGTACACCTTTAGGTCAGGTATTGACCCCTGTGCGTTTATCCTCAGGTGAAACTTTTTTTTAGTGTTTGTGATAAAAGTGGTTTTCATCATGTTTTCGTTGTGGAACCATTGTTCAACACATTTTTCCTTTCCGATGGGACTGTTGAGATGTTACTGGTTACTGGTACTTCTGCGTTTACTGAGGTAACATGAGCTTTATAAAAAAAGATTTGTTTGGCTAATGTTTCGACGTCTTCGCCTTCCTTAGAGACGGATTGATCCCAGTTGACGACCCAGAGTTGGTCTTCTTTGAACGTGGGTGTTCGTTCTCGCATCGAGTCGAATTTGGTGAAAGGACCACCGCTAGATTAAACGCTACCACTCAGTGGTGCCTTCTTACGCACGACGGATGTTGGTCTATTTCTGCCGTCCAATATAATGTTCCTTTTGGCGGTCAGTGCATCCTGCAATAGTCAGAATTTCGTTATCTTCCACATAAGGAAATCACCGACTTTTAGCAGAAGTCGGTTTGTCTGCTGTTTAGGCATGAATCCGCGAAAAAGTTTTCATTTTTCACACTGGAGAATCCACCTGTTTCAGGGTCACGGATCTTTGTAATTTGTACCTTCTTTTCTTTTCGACCACTTGGTTGTTTAGAGTCGCGACCATCAATTGAATTGTCGCAGTTCATCATTTTTTCAGCAAACCTGCCAACTGCTCAACATCAAATCTGCTCAGTATCTAGCACATAGCTTGACAATAGCTTAAGATCTGGTTAAGAAACGACTAGAAAGAGGATAAACGATAAAGCTGTCGACGTTGATTAATCCCTGAAAGATGTGCCATGCATTTAACTCCTATTGATGTATCGAATGTATGGAGTCAGTGCCGCTATCCTCCCAGACAAGTCCGGTACTAATTTACCGACTCCGGTGGAATAGAAGGCTTCCTTAGTCTACGAGACGGGGATCAATCCCATGAGTATTGCGATGCGCCTATAACTACTAAGCTACACGCGCCCCTTAGGAAGGTACTGGTTACTGGTTTCTATTTTCCATGAATTCGTGCATATGAATTTATGAAAATGTCTTTACATGGTGTTTTGCGATACTGAGCAGTCGTTTTCATGTAAAGTTATACATTCGAGCTAAGGAATCTAGCTACTGAACTGTTTCTATAGGAAACGATTTAGAAAGGTTACTAGTCCATAGCTGGATAGTGATGCAGTCGTTTAGAGAAGTGTATTGATTTATTGACTAGGTAGGAAAAATGAAGACACTTTTGTTTCACAATGCTTTAACTTTTACTTACCGATTCTTCTTTTTTTAATAGCAGAGAATCATGTAAAGTGCAACCGCAACACCAAAACTCAGAACGTCAACTGGATCTCGAACCTCATATGCTATCCGCTGCACCAACCAAAGTCGTTGCATTGCCTTTATCTCAGCCAATTTTAGTTTCAATTTGAAGTGATTGCTTCTTCTTTATACTACTCATTTTTAACGGAAATTCTTTGGTGTTAACTTTTTTCCGACAAGTAGTTGTTGCTTAATGATAAGTGTGAATGTAATAATGTGCTCTTTTTTTAAATTATGAATGGTTCTAGGAAGTAGTGGGTGAAATTGATTTTCAAATTGTACAAGCTTTTTCCTATATTTTTATGACTATGAGTACCTAAAAGAGCGCGTGTGGCGCAGTGGTCGGGAATGCCCTGTAATACACATGCGATCGATTCCCTCGCCTCTGGCCCACTAAGCCTTCCATTTCTCCGGTGTCAGCAAATTGATACCATACTTGTCTGGGAAGATAGCAGCACTGGCTCGATACATCGGTAGGCTACGGCGAGTAATTATAAAAGTCACATATACAGTCAAACACCTCCAAACGATACGTAATGAAGAAGTCGAACGCATGGCGCATCCCTCAGGGATTGATCAACGCCAAGAGCTTTTTTAAGTACTTAAAAAGCAACATAGGTGAAAATCGTTTTGAATGGTTTTAATGGCAACGTTATAGTTCTTTGGAGCAATAGGCGTTGTTTTTCTTCATGAGCAATGTTTGGTTATTATTCTAATATGGATATCGTTTACATTGTTCCTTTCCATGGTCCCTTTACGATACGGTCACTTAAACAAATGGGAATGGGAAGCTGTGAGATGTAATAAGTGGCAGTGAATGGTGGAAAAGTCTTCAAATTTGTACTTCCAACTTCTGACCACTGTGCAAGAGATTTTCTGTAAAATTGGCGCTGACATTCGTGCTATCGTCATCACTTTATTGCACATTAGATGTGGCATGTTTGACAGGTCAGTTACTTCTCAACTACTTACTACCAGTGGTTACAGGGACTACCGCTTCGACCTCAAAGTGTATGGGAGGAGTGGGCGCGGTCATGCGCTCTTCCGCAAAGTCGCAGCCATCGAGGATTCGTAGGCTTGAAACCCAGGTCAATGTCTCGTCGGTGCTCGATGTGATAGCTTCATCCAAAGTGGTTATCGTTCACTCTGACGATTGTGCACAGTTAAAAAGCGTGAGTTTAAAGTCACTTTCTCATTTAGTTATTCAAGTAAGCTATAAACATTACTTTTAGTATGCGGACATAATTGAAAATTCTGGGTATACGGAAAACGTGGAGGTGGTCCAGATTCGTGTGAATGACTCAGGAAAGGATCGGCTTCAGTTTATCACGCTAAGGAACGAGTGGCCACTCGTGTTCATTAAAGTTAGCGAGATTGGAGTGTTAACTTCTTTATTTCGCAAGCTTATAGTAGGAATCAAATCTACTGTTATAGGGCGATGCGGTAGGCGGTTTGGACGAGCTGAAGAAGCTTTCTGAGACTGGTGTACTCTCGGAATGGTTGAAAGATCATCAATATGATTTGATTGTAATTGGCGGTGGATCAGGAGGACTAGCTGCTGCTAAGATGGCTGCTGGGTATCGTTTAATTAAATGTATGCAACGATGTTAAGGTTTTAGTTGTATTCAGTCGACTATCAGAGTTCGATTTTGTTTTGCTTTTCTGAACTTCTCGAAAAACATTGTCTTCTTAACATGTATGTGTACGTATTACAGTTTTGGGAAGAAAGTTGCCGTGCTGGATTACGTGAATCCATCACCACAAGGAACTTCATGGGGTTTAGGTGGTACTTGTGTCAATGTGGGTTGCATACCTAAGAAGCTTATGCATCAAGCATCACTGCTCGGACATAGTATAAGTAGGCTTGCTCACATTTAGTTAACTAATCTCTTGCGATATCATTGTAAACAGACTGTCATTTAACCTCGGTATAAATTATCAATATACCTTCTTTCATTGGTAAGCTAACACGAAGTTGTTACCAGTGTTTATTCGGTTAACGCGTCGACGTTTTCGTCTTCCTCAAAGCAGGTGATCCGAGTCGATGTCCACAGTTGTTCGTCTTCTCCAGTAAAGAAGATGTGGCTCGATGCGCTACCAAGACACCACATCGAGAAGACGAGTGACTGTCGACATCGACTAGGATCATAGATTTTGAGAAAGACGAAGACGTCGAAACGTTAACTGAATAAATATCAGTAGCAACCTCGTGATAGCTTGTCAGTGAAACAACATGTATTAATCTCTTACAGTTTACATCGATAATATTTCTTTATTCTATATTACTGGTGTTTCATTTCTGTTAGATGCGTGAAGCCTTGGGTTTGGTGCGTACGAATTTGAAACTGAGAGGATTTCAGAGGATGCGAAGATGTTTGGATGGAAAATACCTGATGGTGAAATCGCCCATAACTGGATGACTCTAAAGAATGGTGTTCAAGATCATATCGCAGCCCTGAACTGGGGATACCGCGTTCAACTACGTGAAAAACAAGTGCGTCTGGAACCTCTATGTGCTGATTCTTTCTTGAAAATTTTCCAATTTTAGGTCACATACATAAATTCCTATGGTAAGTTCACAGGACCGTTCGAGATTTCTGCTACCAACAAGAAGGGTGCCGTGGAAAAGTTAACGGCTGATCGGTTTCTAATCGCTACCGGCCTTCGTCCTCGTTATCCAGAAAACGTTCCTGGGACTCGAGAGTTTTGCATTACAAGGTGACTTATGTTATTTTTAAAGAACTGTTCTTTCTTGTTTTTAACCTCATAGCCTTTAACATTTTGATGGATACTTTTCAGTGATGATCTCTTCTCTCTTCCTTACGCACCGGGAAAAACACTGTGTATTGGTGCTTCTTATGTGTCACTTGAATGTGCTGGTTTCCTGAAAGGGCTAGGCTTTGATGTGACGGTGCATATTGTGTTTATAAATGTAGTATTAGATATGGCTTGGACTTGTGTCTACCGTATGTCTCTTGGGTTTCCAGGTCTTGAAAATTCTAGGTAATGGTTCGATCGATTCTTCTGAGGGGGTTCGATCAGGATATGGCTGAGCGTATCAAAACTCATATGAAGGAATACGGCGTGAAATTTGAGAGGTTGATGAAAAAAGAATAATAGCTGTTCTGTCGAGTTTTTTTTTTAAATTTTTTAATTATTCACTTGTCCAATTCCTGGATTTTATGGAACCGTGTCCAGTTTGCAAATTCTTTTTTTCAACTTTTTGAAGCTGTTTTGATAGGATTTAATGCTTTTAGCAGTATCTTTTGATATTTTCATTCCAGCGCTGTTCCAAGTCGAATAGAAGAGCTTGAACCAAAGACAAAAAGTAATGCCGGACGGCTACGAGTCTACTGGAATAGGACGTCTGCCGATGGTTCGAAGACTGAAACCAGCAAAGAGTTTAACACCGTATGTCATGCAACACTCAATGTACTTCCCAGTGGTTTAACGTAAGGCCCGCGTTCAGGTTGTAATTGCAATTGGTCGTGATGCGATGACCCACGATATCGGTCTTGATGTAATAAGAGTAGAAACCAATAATAGAGGAAAGGTAGATCTAACTATGTATCGTTTTTCGAATGTTCATTCACTCATTCTTCATCTATCTGCTTTTTCAATTTGCAGGTTAAAGGTCGTCGAGAACAATCTCTGACCTGTCCTTACGTCTATGCAATTGGTGATGTTTTGGAGAATACGCCCGAACTAACCCCTGTGGCCATTCAGGCTGGCAGAGTCCTTATGAGGAAACTTTATGATGGAGTTGATGAACTTGTGCGTCTTTATCTTCACTGGTTAATATGTTAAATTTGGTTTAAAGTTGGTGATTCATGTGAGAATTCGTCAAGCAGTGTAGACCAGAATTACTAAGTTGTTACTGAAAAGAAAACTAGCTGAGAGAAAGACCAAACGAAGGACTCGTATGGTTGTTGGTGAACACGTTAGCCCCCGGAAAGGGTAATAAGGCGTTCGTTCTCTACCGCAGACACCTACGGTCCGCAGTTTTGCAAATATCTCAGCGGCATTGTCGTTGTATCACACTGAAGAGAGTGTTTCTATTTTGTGAGGTTAACAAAAATTACTGTACAAAAACTTATCAGTGTTTCATGTTGTTTTTAGACGGAGTACGATAACGTGCCAACAACTGTGTTCACTCCCCTTGAATACGGTTGTTGTGGTCTTTCGGAAGAGGTAAGTATCTTCTTCATATTTCATATTTTCAAATGTTTTCCAGTTTATTTTGAAGAGTGCCTTCGAACGCTGGGGAAAGGAAAATGTCATAGTGTATCATGCCGTTTTCTTCCCATTGGAGTATACCGTCCCCGAAAGAATGGACAAAGATCACTGTTATTGCAAACTCATATGTCTGAAGAATGAAGAGGTCCGTTGTGTTTTTGTTTAGCGTTTTGTTCTTGTTCTGCCTCGTACTTGCTTAAAAGTCACTGGAATTCGAATTCGTCGTTAGGAGCGAGTACTGGGCTTCCATATACTTGCGCCATCAGCTGGTGAAATCACACAAGGTTTCGGAATAGCGTTAAAGTTAGGAGCAAGGAAATCAGATTTTGATCGCCTTATTGGAATTCATCCTACGGTTGCAGAGGTATAGTTGTATTTCTGTTATCCAGAGTGGGTTCATTATTTTCGAAACGTTTTATTGTTGTTCATTATAGAGCTTTACAACGCTCTCACTAATCAAGAAGGAGGGTGAAGCTGAGTTGAAGGCAACAGGTTGCTGAGGATAAGTTTGGTTCCTTGTATTAGATCGATCACAAGTGATGCTCTGATACATTAACATTCGCTTCTTGATATTTTATTGGCGTAATGTTAGTATATCTGGACTGATGTGATACGATCTGATGTAAGGAACCTGTTGGGGTAGAGGGGTTCCGCTTTGTGACGGACGATGGCTAAACTCTCCGAGCGCTTTCGTCTTGATTCGGAAATGCCTAATACCCCGCCCATATCCTCTCTTTTTACCAAATGTCTAGTACTTTTTACGCTTTCATCTTAGAACAATCCCCTATAATCATTCTACTGTACCCTCTGACATTTCAACACCTATGAAGTTGGACCTATCAGTTTTGTAGAATTTAATAACTCAATGATCCCAGTGATCACGCGAAATGGTACCATTTGCCTTAACCTCTAAGAAGGTATACCTTTTGTTTTTTTGTTTCCTCTTTGAATATGTATTGTTCGAAGCATCTGTCATTTTCCTTGGACCCTCGTTCATCTTGTTATCTTGTTTTTTATAATAACGGGATTACTGGAATAAATACTCACTCCCATTGAAGGAGGTTGTGCTTTCTGTAATATAATTGTGAGATGAAAGTTCTGGGTGTTATGTTAAGAATGGTGACATATAGACATTGCTCTTCATTCTTAACTTAAACCTTGTGGCATAAATGGTCGATATATTTATTTATACGTTCTAATGAACTATTCTGCTTCCCGGGTCTACGTCCTCAAGTCTAAGGATCAACAGGATCTATGCCAGTTGAGCCAATCATTGTTGAGCGGACGGTCCGCATTAACGTGTGTGCTGACTCACGCCGGCCCATGTCACGCATTAACGTATCGATCGAAAGGGGAAGTGAAAGCAGTTGTTGCGAAACGTTGCTCGTCTGCCATTATTTGATGATCTCTTGTCACTTTACATCTTCACAGTCATCATTTTAACTTTTTTAATGATCATGTATTCGATGAAGTGTTTTTGTACGAGGGAATTCTGCACTGGTATGAAATCGATGTCTGGTAATCGGGTTGCACCTATCTTGCTTCGAGGGAAACAAATTGTGTTTGGGAATGGTACGTTGAAAAGGGCAGGATTTTGTTGAAGTGCTTTTGAACGAAGCAGAATCAATCAAACCAGTCTCGTCGCGTCACAAAAGTGTGAATTGAATTGAATTGAATTGAATACTTGATGCTTGAACAGCCCGTCATCAACAGTGTGCGAGCCCCAGCATAACCACCATTTCTCAGAGATTTGCTGGCTAAGCCATTGCGGTTCTCTGGAATCCCGAGGACAGCCTGGCCAATCTATCCCAGGTCATTACTACGACAGGCAATCGCAGCGCTTGTGGATCAGAGGGAGATTTACCACCATGCGACTTTGGTACCAAGACAGTGGTGGATCCTGGTATTGGTTTACTCTTAGCTAGGCTTCCTGATGGAAACGCCATACTTCTTCTCAGCTTGGGAGACCCTGCCGGAGGGACGAATCCCCCCGATGTACATCGCAGTCGCAGGAACACCTCCCAGCCACAATGAGGTGGTAAACCGTTGGGAGGGAATTGAATTGATTTGCATAGAGCATCTGTCAGAATCAGTAACCTGCAATCAACGGCTGATTCCTTATATTCTATTCTTTTTGATCCAGACCAAAGAATATTCGTTGAATGTATGACCTACGATGAGCGAGTGTCGCCTGCTTACAACAGAGTCTTGCAATTGCTGAAAGGTCGGTGTTCAGTAAAATTGTCGGTGCAGGTAAGGTGCCAATCCAGGTCTCAAATGAGAGCGCTAGATTGCTTCATAGCATCATTAAAGGGCATGAGAATAGCGCAAACACCCATTCGTCTTTTGTACAGTTCATTCTTCACGTCGTTAACACTGTTAGCAATACCAACTATAAGTACACATTAACTATGGCAGTTGTGATCGGAATACGGTTGGGTTCGATTCTTTACCAAATGCATCGAAAGTTCTTCATCAGCTTCGTGCCAAATCCATCTACACAGTGGCCGAAGTCCATGCTTCAATGAACTACGCTTGCTTAATCGGTTTGGCTTCACTCAAGGTCCTTGTTTTGTTCGGGTGGATAATCCTTCTGGAAAGCTCACAGATCAAACTCAAGCAAATCTGGTGAATGTGCGTTGTCATTAGATACGTGAAGCTCTCATACTGTGCAGTTCTCAAAATGAAGAATGTCCGTGTTTGTTCTTGAGCTAGACCTTTTTTCATACTATTGATCGCAATGCGTACTTTCGATAGAGAACTCTATGAGTGGTTTTTCCTCGGCTCTCATTTTGAGGTCTTGCACGAGACTAGAGGAGCTGGAGAGGTTAAGGTGGATTTATTCCACGTTAATTCTCATTTTGGAACTTTTTTTTGAAAGGAGGTGTTGCTCGAGATCTTCGGTCAGGTTTTTCGATGCACCAATCATTTGTTCGACGGATTAAGAAAGGATAAAGGATAGCGGTTTCGGGATTGATCAATCTGTGCTGGTTACGCCATGTATTCGACTTAATCAGGCATCAATAGAGGCAACTGGATGCATATCCGGCTAATAGAATGAGTTGCGCCGGTCTATAGTTGTATCAATTCAGTGCTGCTCTCCTTCCAGACTCCAGACAAGTCTGGTATTAATTCTTATCAAAGTGGGAATATACTAAAGTCGTGCCATCATCTTTTGTGAAGGATCTTCTCTCCTCGAATATTTAGATTTCTTTCATAAAATATGCGTATATCGGTTTCGCTTGTCTTTTACTACGGGGCGATAATAATATGGAATTTGATGAGGAATGCGAGTGAAGAGCAGTGTGAAATCGGATATCTCAAGAGGTTTAGGTGTTTACCTGTTCAGCAAGGAAGTTTCCACTACGTTGAAAGTCGTTAAAGTGCAAAAATGAGAATTTAATCAAATTGCTACTAATGTAACAAAACTTTGGGGCCGTGTAGCGCAATAGTTAGAGGCGCACTAAAGGACACATGGGATCGATCAGTTTCACGCTCCAGGCCTACCAAGCCTTCCATCGCTTCGGGGTCGGCAAATTGGTGCCAGGCTTATCTAGGAGCACAGCACCACCGAAACGATACATCGGTAGGCCATCGCGAGTCAGTGTGTAGGCAAGATATGCATTCATTCACTTACAACGATGGTTATTGAAGTCGAATGCATGGCGCCACCCTCAAGGGTTGACCAACGTCAGGAGCTTTATCCTTTTTTTATGGTCCTACTTGGTATATTGTTCTGATTCTAGCAGTTGTTTTATTCGGTTCTTCGGTTGCTACGTGTATTTTGTATTTGTAACTTTCTATTCCTAACGAATACCGTTAATTGCTGGTTGAATTGCTTCTGTCTTGAATCCTAAAATAGTTCTGCTAGAATGTTCTCAGTTCTCCGTAACAGGTAGTAGTCAGCTTTTATGCATACAAAAGATCTTTTGGATGACAAATTTGGTACCAGTTAACCAACTCCGGAGGGACTGGCCTTTGATTGGTCCGGTGCAGAGTTGAACTACTAACTACGTGACTGTTACACCCCGCCTGCACACTGTAATAACAATAATAGTAATAATAATGATAATGAATAACAATTATAATAAATAATAATAATGAATAATAATAAATAATAACAATAAATAATAATAATAAATAATAATAATAATAAACAACAATAAATAATAATAATAGATAAGAACAATAATAAATAATAATAATAAATGATAAATAATAATAATAAACAATAATAATAGTAATAAACACTTACTTGGATACTTAGATGGTCGGTCTTCACGAGCTGTGCGGACCCCAGCACATATGCCATTCGTTCGTTTCTCTCGCAATCGTAGTCCATGGTGGTGGTCTTGTTCGAGCATGGTAGCGCCAGCGAGTCTCATACCGTGGTCTGTAAAACAACTGCAGATGTGGGCACAGCTGATTAACTTTGTTTACGAACACGTCCGCCCAACGTGTAGGTGGTCGTGCAAGGGGACGTTTGCATTCTCTTGGAGTCCACTCTACTGTTCCTTTCGTCCATCTGTCGTCTGTCCTTCTAATTATGTGACATGCCCATCTATGTTTCGCTGTCGATGTATATTCTCCTGGATCTCGAAGATGTGACAGATTTCGAAGGTCAGAGCTTCGCAATTCGGCTACATATTGAGAGAGCCGGTTATGTTTCAGAAGACATCGCTCAGGCACTCTGTGAGTAGTGCGAAGCATTCTTTACGTGGTTAAATTATCAACCCACCCACGTCTGTGCAGCACAACAGAGCGCTGGAAGGATCGTAGAATCAAAGAGATGAGCGCGGATTTTCGGGTCCTTAGTTCGTCGGTGGCTTCTTTGAGAGGCTCGAATGTGGCCCAAGCTGCTCTCCTTCTTCTATCTAGTTCCTCTTTCATGTTGTTTTCCATGTTCATTGATCGCCCAAGGTAAACGGTGGTTTCTGCAATGAGAGAGCCATCCAATTCGATTTTTTCGCCTTCGCACAATGGGTTTTTCATGAACTGGCTCTTCTTTCGATTTATGCGAAGTCCGATCTTTTTCCCCGCTTCGTTGAGCTCGTTGATCATCACCTCTGCTTCGCTAGTACTTCTTAAGAAGATAACAATGTCATTAGCAAAACGAAGGTTTGATAGGAATTTTCCATCAATACGGATGCCTTTCACATCCAATCGTGTGAATTCATTATCGACGTCACTCTCTCGAACCCATTTTCCTATGGGAAAACTGTATTTTCGTAGTGCAGTTCCGATAACAGCCGGACAGAGACCTTACGTAGGACGGGTCCAGTCCTTGGTCGAGGAGGGCTGATAGGATTGCATTCGTTTCGACACTGTTAAACGCTTTCGCATAATCGACAAAGGTTAGGACTAGAGTCAAGTGGTATTCCCGACAAACTTCGATGACCCGGGACACGGTTTGGATGTGGTCCATGCAGCAAATTTCTTTTCGAAATCCTGCTTGCTCGACTAATTGCCCTTCATCCAATGTCCTTGATATACGCGAGAGGATAAT